GGTAAAATCTCCCCCACCTCCGGTCTACATCTACGCTTCTCCCCCACCTCCCACACATTACTAGGCTCATCAAATTTAACAAAATTTCCCCATTATTCAAGTAAGTCCAAAACCCTAACAATTAATACATACTTTCAATTTACTCCATCTCCGTTTCGTTACAAATTTGTACCCTAAAATCTCAGTTTCTTCTTTCACAGGTTTTCTTTTACAAAATCGAATAAAGGAAGGGTCAAAGTCAACAAAGAAAAGAAGAAGTGAACCAAATAAGGATCGTCGAGCCAAAATCATGAAAAATACATCTCTAACAATGATCCACATCACTTCATCTTCTTCAATGTCGCTCATCTTCCACTTCTTCATCATTATCTTCGCGTGTTCATCAAGTCAAATTGTTTTCAAGACCCCTTTAGATCGTATATCATTGTCCCTTTTTGTTGTTAAGTGAAAAAATGGGTTTCGTAATTTATTTGTTGTGCATACATTTTCTATTTTCTTTTATAAATTTCCTTTAATGTAATGAGAGAGTTTGTTTAGCAAAGTGCAATAAAAAAATGTTCAGTTTCGTCTTTCTTTCGATTGTTCGATATAATATGTTATGTTTCTATTTAGAAAACTAGTTCGAAAGAGCAAGTAAAAAAAAAACATTTCTTTTGAGATGGGGACGACATCGTTTTGATATATTCGTACAGACAAAAAGTCGATGATTATTGCTTCAAAGTTCAAACGTTGGTAAGTGGAAATAACATCTTCTCGATCTTATTGGCTTATTATTTAAGTTTATCATGTAGTAGTCAGAACATCACTTTCATCCATCTAATTTCTACCTATTTTCCGATATTGACAAATACTATATGTGACAAAAACACTTGACTAAAATTTAAATTTGATGAACAAAATCAAACTTATTTGATAAAAAATATTCAAATCTTAAAATGAATTGAGATCAATCAAACTTATCCGAATTAGATTCAGTTTAAACGTAGTTTATATACTTTACTAAACGAAGAATAAAACAAATCATATGAAAACCAGAATACTCGAAATTAGTGGTTCTTTTCTGATATGTGCTTTTGGGCTTTGAGGCCCATTTATCAAACATATTTGCCTCCACCGTAATTGTCTTTTAAAGTAACTTTTGAATACTCACTCACCGTCAAAATTATTTATGGGTTATATGCAGATAATTATTATCTCTGTTAATGTCAATAAAGCTAACAATCTGTTCTTGAATTCAACAGTAATAATGAATGTATAGTTTAACATAAAAGCATAATTATTGCTAAAACAAAATAAGATAAAGCATCATCTTTTTAATTTCCAAATCGTATACATGTATGAGACTATATGGAAATGTATTTGAGTTTCGACAAAAATTCTTTCTTCTACACGAAATTAAAGTAATGATTATGTTATATCTCAATTAAATAATTACGAAAATGAAGAAGAAACAGCTGTGATTTCAAATTGTACATGATTTGGAGCCCTTAGTATTCTCCGCGTTAGATGATGCGTTGTC